TACAACATGTGGGGTAAGAAAACTCACAACATCATGGTTGGAGGTATATGCCAATTACCGTTGAACTATGCTCACTTTGACCATCCTTTTACATGTTGTTGGACTAAAAAAAATAAAAAAATTATACTCATATTCCATTTTTATGAATTATTTATGTTTACCTAATAAGTAGATATTTTATTAATACTTTTAGTTTGGTACGATTTTAAAAATGGGTTACAAGATAAAAAGAAAGTTAATTTTAAAATTGGACTAATATGTGAAAAACAACAATTAAGCGCGATTTAAAGATTCTAAAAAGTAACTTTAAAAACATTAACACTGGTTTTAGGGATTGTTTAGGGACGGTTTGTTTGTTGTTTTTTATTCTCAATTTTATTAAAAAATCTAAACATTTACAACTATTTATGATTCTTGTTTCTCATTTTTTAAAACAATCTCAAAATTGTATAGAATTTTAGAAAATAATAAAAATAAGTTTCTTATTTATTATCTCCGTTTCTAATTAATTTGTTAAATGGTTAGTAAATTAATTTAATTAATTAAAAAAACAATAACCACGAACAAGTGAAGTCCCAACTACTTATTTAGACCCTAAAGCCTAAATAACTACAAAACAAAACTTAAAATTGGTAAATAAATAAGTTTTAACTTTCAACAGAGAAAAAATTATTAAAAGTTGCAATCAAATGGGGTCTAGCAGTATTTATATTTATCGGATCTTATTTTATGTGCGACGGCTAAGGTGATTTGAAATATGCTTTTTTTCTTTAATTATTTGTCCAAACTTTTATTCACGTATGTCATGCTGATGTCATGTCATGAGCCATAAATTTTTTTGAAAATTAAAATATTTTAACACTTACTCTTTAAATATATTTTGTTGGTGATTGAAATATGCTTTGAAATTTTTTTTAGTTTAATAACTTGTAATAGGATTCGAATTTTTACCCTTTTGATCGAATCTTAATAAGTTGAGCTAATACTAACCGCTCAAAGTTGGCATATGATTTGTTGACCTAAAATAATAATAATTTTAGTTTGTAATTTTCTTATAAAATAATTTGTAATTTTTTATTCGCATCGTCATACTTGATGGTCACATTTATATTCACAAATACAACATGTAATAAAATAGGGAGGGTTTTATTTTTTATCGGTAAAGGAGAGATTCAAATCTAAAAATATGTCAACCAAGTTATAAGTATGGTCAAATTCTATTTCAATTATTTCTTTAAAAAAAGTTCATATTTCAGTCATTAACTTAAAAGTTCATATTTCAGTCATTAACTTATTTTTAATAAATAAGTGGATTTAATTAAAATTTTTAATCTAATACAAATAAACTTCTACACAAGTAGTATATAAAAATTACTAACTCCGGTGTGAGTGTCAATATTATTTTTTGATCCTATTAATTAAGTACCTTGACTTTTCCTTTATCAAAATCATCAAATATGCAAAGTTTTAAATGTTGATGTCGATGAAAATGTCAATGTCTCAATATCAGGAAAACGTCGATAGAAATATCGATAAAATGTATCATTGATGGATATTCTGTATGTATTAATCTGATATTTTGTTGATATTTTTCATATATGTCTATTTTTTTTGTAATATTATGAAAATGTTGATTTACCCTTGTGTCGATGTCGAACCCACTGATACATGAAAATGTTGAAGGAACATATATCTTAGACTTAAATGAACTCTGCGCTTAATTCGAAAGTCTTTGAAGGTAATTTTTAAAGTATATCTGTATTAAAACTTTGAACTATATATGTATATATATTTATTTATTTCAACACGAATAATGAAAAAAGCGAAAGAAAGTGAATGAACTCTCTAAGTTTTATGATCACATGGAAACTTAATAAGATCTCTCAGAAGAAGATTGTAAGTAAAAATGAATTGGTGTTACACAACTTAGGAAGTTCCAAGTTGGAACATATAAAATATTTCCATTCAAAAGTTTATTTTTTCTTAATACAATGCATTCACATAGATCCCAAAAATTCAAGCTGCCTACTCAGTCTAATTTGCATGTGGAAAACCCTTTAGAATTTCAGAGGCAACTTTTGGCTTTGCCTATAAACATCCATTATTCATCTTCATTATTTGATGAATTGAAATTTGCCAATCAAACTTCATTGGTTAATACTAGATTGACGCAGCTAATGTTGAGAAATTAATGGTCCTGAATAATTTCTCTTCTATAGAAATATCTAAACACACTCCACAATATGCAAATAAGGAAGAAATTGTAAAGCACAAGAATACGACATAGCTGGTTCACCAACTAAGGGTTACATCTAATCTACTACTCAGATGTGGGTAATTCACTAATATTGTCAAGAATTGGATTACAATAAACTCTCCCCAAAAATATCTCTAAAGGTCCCTACCCTAGCTTCTAAGCAATCCAACACAATTACTTAGGTACATGAATGAAAAACTCACAAAATAATCTAAAACAAATTATCCCAAAATATCAATCTCGATTTGCTTTTTCTATATTGCCAACACTCGAGCCACCGCCACGAAATTGTTGTAGAATCACCCTAAAATCTGCTGCAAAAAACTCACAGTGCTTTTGTTTTCTACGACTACGATACAAAATATAATAACAAAATATATATATATACACACATACATATACACATACACATACACATGTGTATATGTGTGTGTATAAATATATGTATCTATATATATACCTACCTATATATATATACAGACACACATATATATAGATACATACATATATACACACGCGAGTTGAGATAAAAGTAGAGCAACAAAAAAGTTGGGCTCTTTTCATGGTCGAATGATCTTCACCTTTTTTTTTCTTTCTTTTTTAATTTTATATCCAAAACCCAACATTTAGGGGCGAACAAGGAGCATAATTATCCATCTTCATTCGTCTCGGAAAAAAAAAAGAAAAAATTACTAAAAATTCAAAGTTTTTAAAGTTTCTAATATATAATTTGCGTAGTAAATTTTTAGAATGAAAATATTATATCTATAAAAAGTTAGATGGTAAATTTTTAGAATGGAAATATTATACCTTAGAAAGTAAGATTGTGTCTCTTATTAAAAATTCTAGCTTCGCCATTGTCTCTCTTTAATCATAGGGTCTTGTTTTCTGAACTTAGGAGCACTCGAGTTGCATGTGAGAATTACTGAATTAGGCAGAATATTAGAAGATGAAAAAGTAACTTGAATGATTTTAATAAAGGGTCCAAAACATGTTCTTTTTCCTTTTTTAGAGAGAAGATTTTTTTTCCCACCAACCCATTTGGGGGTAAATGTAGATAATTAGAATTATAAAATCTTTTTTTTTCTCATTTTTTTTTTCAAATTTTCTTTACCATATAGCAGAGTATTAAATTTCCATAAATATATCGAATTTATATATTAATAGATTCAAGACATGGGTGTAAGGATTTAATTGACATTTCCATAGTATTGCCAAAAAGAAAAATCGATAAAATAAAAAAAATATCAACATAATATGATACTAATATTAATAAAATTTTAATTTATTTAAAAAGTGTGGAAGATGTATTTGTTAATTTAAAATTTTTTATAAATATAATTATTTTAGAAATATTTATGGATATCAACATTTAAAATATTGGTCAAACTTACTGGATTTGTATTGTCGGGATAATTTTCTTAGGGAGTAGTCCAACACTTTGAATTTTATTACTTTTGTCTTCTTTATTACATGTCCAACGAAACTTATATGAAAACAAACGTGTAAATTTTGGAAGTTGTGTGTTTTAGATATACACTCTTAGGCAAAAAAAACATGAATTTCTAAAAGTTTTGGAAAAAAAGTGTAATCAAGCATTTGTTTTGGTAATTTTCTCAAGTAGTGACAACGTTTCTAAAAGTCTAATTGATCCAAGTAGACAATGAAATGATTTTCACAATATATTTATGCTAATTACCTTTATACCTACCTCCCCATTTTGGTAGAAGTTTTTGAATGGAGATACCTTTTCACACGACAATTTTTTTATTTTTATTTTATTTCTTTTAGTTATTGCACTTATGACTATAAACATATTTTGCAACTATTTATATTTCTTGTTTCTCTTTTTTTTAGAAACGTGTTCAAAATTATAAAGAAATTATGGAAACGATACAAACAAGTTTCTTGTTTCTCGTTCTCGTTTCCAATTTGTTCCAAAATATAATAAAAATATTGTATCATCATTTTTTAATCTATAGATATTGGGACCATGTAATTCTATTTTTATTTATAAAAAAATGAGTTAAAAAATTAAAGGAATATATCACAGGAACATAATGCCCTAATTAGTATATTAATAAAATATTGCTTTAGAATTTAAGGTCTCGTTTGATTTTATACTACTAGGATAGAAATTACGGCAAAACATTATGTACTATTAATCAAAACTATTAAAAAATATTCTGAATATTTTCCACTCAAAATTATATATTTGAAAGTAATATAAAGTATTTTGAAAAGAAAAAAAAAGCCCAAAGCACACCATAAACACTTTTGAGAGCTTTTGGCCCAGTGACCCAAAACTACCCGAAAACATTTTTAAGAGTATAAACCACATCAAAGAATTATCACTGGGCACGTTTTACTAAACAATTATAGATCATTTAAACGTAACTTATAAGATTTTAAATGTTGATGTCGAGTTCACATTTTTGGGTGTTGGTACAGTGGCAAGAAGACATCCAAGATTTAGGTTTAAGCCCTCCTTTATCTAGTAGCAACCACGTACCACGTACCGACAAAAGTTTAAGATACTTTTTTTTTTAGCTTTTTTGTGATAAGTTTTCAAAAGTAATTTCGACCATGCAATGTGAATTTTAAAAGTTTTTGATATTTTCAATTTCATATACCAGTGACATTTCTATTATACGGCAGAACATCAACTAAATATAATAAAAATGTTGAGAGTTCCTGTGTTCGAATCCTCATATTTGATAATAATGTTCTTCGACTCAACACTGATCCTCATTCTGCTCTCAAGGAAGGGTAAATTCATCTATTAGGAGCCATTGTTGCAGACTTAATCGAAGACTATTCGCCTCCCTTTTAGCGCCAATTCTTCTGAAATTCTTGCCATTTTGGAAGGGATTGAGTTTGTAATTGGAGTATTGGGGACCTAATTCATATTGGAATCGGCCTCATCTTGATTGAGAATCAAGTTCTCGCCGCCATTGGAGTCTCGATAAACTATTTCTCGAGTACATTCAGACGCCCAAATTTGGCAGGTATCATTTGAATTTATCTCTAAGAAGTCAAGTTTAAATCGGTATTTTATTTATTTATATAATCTGAGTTTAAGCCGAATCGCGATGCTAGATATTGTTTTCTAGGTTTAAAATGTAGTTTGAAGTGCGTGTTTGGCGATTGTTGGTGTTTTCTAATGCCCCACATTGTTTCAGCTTTCCATCAGAGTCTTAAAAGTTCATCAACAGACACCACCACCACACCCCACTCTTGTTCATTTGCACGTGGGAATTGTTAAGCAATTGTCTGACTGAATGAACTATTTAATTTGATTAAATAAGAAGATCCTGCAGAGCGCTGTCAAAAAATTTCAGACAGGTTTGGGAAACTAGGCTTTTTACTAACTTTTCAACTGCCAATACAAGCTCCCCTTGTCAAATTTTTAGTAAAAACTAGAATCTCTAGCTCGAAACTGGCAAGTTTTTACTGTTTGTTATATTATTCTCATTTCTATTTGCATCAACTGTTGAAAATTGGAGATGCCCACGCTTGAAGGAACTGCTTAATCTTTCCCAAATAGGCCATGGAAATTCAAACGTGAGTCCTTTTTTGACTGAAGAGGGGGGCACATGCTTGGGGCAAGCCTTATCTCTTTGCCAGTGGGCTCACAATCAATACGGCGACAAGAAGTGCCTGCTAACACCGTCACCGTCAGCAGTCCATGTGATCTTTCAGCAAATTGGATCCTTCGAGTAACTCACGTGTAGACATTTTGGTGATTCACTTAATTAACCTCAGCCTAACTGTTTACTTCGAATTAGGCGAATACCATCGTACGTGAGTGTATTTGAAAATCTTTTCTTTCTTCCTGTTTATGTGTATCATTAATTATTTGTTCTTTTTCTGGCTCAAGTATTAAGAACTCTGAAATTTCAACCCCTTTTTGTTTTCTGGTAGGTAGGGCTAAGTGGGTTTCCGATATCTTGTTGAAATCGTTCTAGTCTATCTAGAACTGAGTATTTCGAAAGCCTTGAAAGAAATCAGCTTGCGGAATGATTTCTTGTTAGTGTTTTCTGGTTTTAGCGAATGATGTTCTTTTTTGAAGGTTGTTGTGAAGTCAGATAGGTTTGTCTCAGATCTACTTTATTCTTCAAGCTGCTCTGTATTTGCTATCATTTTAGTACATTTATTTCTCCTCTCTCTCTTTTTAACGACTTCTGGTTGTAAATTGAGCTCATGATTGGTTTGAGCTGTTAAGACTGTGCTAATTTGAGACTGGTCAACCCAATAATCTGCGCTAGTGATGGTCTTTTTTCTGTTTCCAGATGGTTTACTGCTTATTTCTCTACTGGGATTTTGCAGTTCCTGTTTTTCTTTGACTGTGCAATTTCTATGTTGTTCTGTTTAGATATAAGAGTACTTTCCAACTGATTTTGCCAAAATCAAAGGTTGAATTGTCTGCTCCTTATGTGATGTTTTTTTGATCTGTGATATGATTTGAGTCATCTCTGATTAGTTGTTATGATATCGATTGACAGCAACTGGGGGCCATGTGAAATCATCCGTGTTCCTCACAGGGCTTTCAATTTCTGAGATGTTGAGAAGGTTTTTAACCTTTTTGATACTGTAATGGATGCTGGAAGTTCTGAATCCCCAAATATGGGTAGCAACAAGACCATAGTATGGTTTCGGAGAGACCTCAGGATTGAGGACAATCCTGCTTTGACTGCCGCTGCTAGGGATGGTTTTGTATATCCTGTGTACATATGGTGTCCTAAAGAGGAGGGACAATTCTATCCTGGTCGGGTATCGAGGTGGTGGTTGAAGCAATCCCTTGCCCATTTAAAGCAGTCATTGAAATCCCTTGGCGCTGATCTTGTGCTAATGAAAACTCGGAGTACTATTTTCTCTCTTCTGGAGTGTATCAATGCTACTGGGGCAACAAAAGTAGCATTTAACTCTCTCTACGGTATGCACGTTTCATTTCTAGTTTTTATTTTTTATTTTTGCTTGCAATTTGATGGTATTTTCAAATATGACACTCCTAATGCACTTATTTATTTCATTATGTGTATCATTTAGCTCTTGGGAATTCTGTGTGCTGGAATCGTCACTAAATTGTAATGTGCTGGCATGCTCATGTTCCTAGTTAAGAGTTGCAGCTGATTGAGTTGTAGTTTTATAGTGGATCGTTATGATGCTACTCTGGGATATCTTGTGCATGTTGCTTTACGTTGGTGAACAAAATATATACTTTTTCCACGACGTTAAAAAGATCCAGTAAATTTCTAGTAGCAAATCTTAGCAAACTTGGTGCGGATTGATAACTTCATTTCTACCTAGTTGGAAGCTAGGGGAATAATATGGAGAAAAGAGATATCTCGAAGTATACATAATATGATTGCCATGAAGTCAGTTATTGGCTTCACAACACACGTTAGATTATGGAAATTGGCCACGAAAAGGTTAATTGGAAATCACAGTCCTCTTAAATAAGCAGAACAGAATTCATAGAAAATTGCAGAAATTTTGGATGGTACAAATTAAAAAGAAACAAAACAAAACAAAAGAAGCCAGTATTTTAACATAACCATACAATTTGTGAAGTATTATTTTTTTTCACATCAAGCAAGAAATGGAAAGCTGATACTTTGTTCAAATTTGTAGGGACGCTGTCATTGAGTATGGACACAACATAAATCACCATCAATTCAAGGTAGATATTGTATAAAATACACAAGTCATGATACTTAATTATCTCCATTTAACTGGTGGAGAGGCACCCCTGTTGGAACTTAATTATCTCATTCCACAAATTCCTCCACTACAAAAGGAGGATTCATTCATTAGCAATAAAATGAAACCTAGTAAATGAATATCTTTAACTTTATTCCTTGACGTTGGGCCAAAAAATAGTTTTAAAGGAATTTTTGTCATCTTTATGTTTAGCGGGGTGACTGTGTCAAGATAGGGGAAGATCAAGGTCATTCTACTAACAGTTGGTTTTTTTTTTTTGTCTCAGATCCCAATTCACTTGTCCGAGACCATGATATTAAAGAAAAACTAGTAGAACTCGGAATTTCTGTGCATAGCTACAATGCTGATCTTCTTTATGAGCCATGGGATGTATGTGATGAAAGTGGGAATGCTTTTACAATCTTCAAGGAATATTGGGATAAATGTCTACTTTTGCAAAAGGAATTTGTTTCAACTCTCCCTCCATGGAAACTACGGCAGGCTGCAGGTACATTTCTGACAGGAAATATGTAATCTAATAACTGAACTGTTCCTCGATAACACCTTCTCTGATGCTTCTAGAATTTAAATTTGTCACTTTTGGAAGATAAGTAGTAAGAAGCTGCATTGCTACTTTAACAAAATTTTAAAATCATCAATCAGCAGAATAGTCATCGTAGCTTCTGAATATTTATTCTGTACAGGAGCTTACTATGAACTAAGAAAACTTAGTGCATTGTCTTAAGAGCTTTTCCCCTGTTTTAACATTGACAGGAACGGTGGATAATTATTCCATTGAGGAACTAGGTCTTGAAGATGAATCTGAGAAATCTAGCAATGCATTATTAGCAAGAGCTTGGTCTCCAGGCTGGAGCAATGCTGACAAGGCTCTGGCTGAATTTGTAGAAAATCATCTGCTAGAATATGCCAAAAATAGGCAACAGCTAATTGGTAGCTCCACATCTCTACTGTCCCCATACCTACATTTTGGTGAAGTAAGTGTATGCAATATTTTCCAAAAAGTGAGAATGAAACAAATATTGTGGGCAAGAGAGGGAAACTCCGTGGGGGAACAAAGCACGAATCTGTTTCTCCGGGCTATTGGGTTTAGAGAATATTCCCGTTATATATGCTTTAACTTTCCATTCACCCATGAGAGATCATTACTGAGCAGCCTGAAGTTCTTTCCTTGGCATGCCAGCCAGGATAACTTTAAGGCTTGGAGGCAGGGTCGAACTGGTTACCCACTGGTTGATGCAGGAATGAGAGAGCTTTGGGCAAGTGGATGGATACATAACAGAATAAGAGTGATAGTTTCGTCCTTCGCAGTTAAAGTTTTGCTTCTTCCATGGAAATGGGGAATGAAGTATTTCTGGGACACTCTTTTAGATGCAGATTTGGAAAGTGATATCCTTGGTTGGCAATATATTTCTGGGAGTTTGCCAGACGGCCATGAACTTGAGAGATTGGATGATCCACAGGTATATTTTTAGCTTCTTTGAGTTAAAAACATTAATAGTAGACCACACAGATCATACGTACCTTTATGAACTTAAATGTCTTAAAGATTAAATTTTAATTGTCGGCTATGGAGCTATTCAACAGTCTTCTGGGAAGATGATATTCAAAAGAAAACATGAATTATTCATTTCCTATAAACATTACTTAATGTTTGAAGAATGCGGTGGATACTTAAAGAAGAAAAATCAAACACGATAAATATTTGAGATAAGATGAAATTGCTCGTATCGAAATCCTTCCTAAAATACTAACTTGGTTTACAATTTCTCTCACATTTGAGTTAATTAATGACTCTAGGTCTATGAACCTATTCATACATGTATCAACATTTAAGCGGCATCTACATTAATGTATCTAAAACCAAAATGTGTTTAATTTCTTGATATATTGCTTCCCTACCACATGTTAACACACACCATTTGTTTCTGCCTACTTTGTTTGAGGATTCCAAAGAATTACCTCATTTTTATTGTTTTTATCTCGTTGGGATGACTAAATGACAGTCTAGGTGCCAATCTCTGATCTCAAATTCAGGAGGAAGTTGGTATGAGTTTGTCGAACTGTGTCATCAGATTATTGTTCCAGTCCAAAAATTCAAAATTTTGCTTCATTGATTGGGCACTGGCTTTGGATTTGATGTCTTTTTATACTGTTGTAACTGCAGCTCCATTCTGTAAATGTCGAATGCCTGCTATAGTCATCTTGTTCTTTATGTTTCCTCATACTCCTGTACGTCTTTTACATTGTATTGATAATATAATTCAGTTTCTTTTTTATAATTAAAAGGAAGAAGAAGAAGAATATTGATTGGCATATTACAGTAATTTTGGATACAAAACCATATTGTGATGCCTCATTGTATGACTATCAAGAATTGTTGAATTTAGCGCTGTTGTTGTATTACTGTTTTAAGGATGATGAAAGTCAACTTGATGACTGCTAGTAAGTCAGATAACATTGCAGCCTCTACTTCTTTATCTCGTCGTGCTAATTGTTCATTCTTGAAACCAGATTCAAGGTTCCAAATTTGATCCTGACGGAGAATATATTAGGCATTGGCTGCCTGAGCTTGCACGAATGCCGACCGAGTGGATACATCACCCTTGGGATGCACCTCAAACTGTCTTACAAGCTTCGGGAGTTGAGTTAGGTTTAAACTATCCAAGACCAGTAGTCGAGTTAGATTTGGCTGTTGAACGATTGACAGAAGCCATAGTCAAAATGCGGGAAATCGAGGCAGCTGTTGGGGCGAACTCAAATGGTACAAATGAAGTTGTTATGGATAATGCCGATGGGATTCAACGCTTGCCTACTACAAATGTTGTGTCAGTAGCAAAAACTTGTGCAACTAATTCTTCTAATGATCAGAAGGTGCCCACAATTCAAAATTCAAAGGTTAACAATCCGTTGAGTAGAAAGCGGTCCAAAGCCCTGGAAGAGAGAGGGGAATTTCACCACAACAAGAACATACCCAGTGAAGCTGGGACCTCGAAATCGGACGAAGATTTACGTTCTACTGCCGAATCTTCATCATCTAAGAAACCAACCCCAACCACCAGCAGAACTTCTTTTTCTGTTCCACAGTTTTGTTCCTCATCAAAAGGGCAGCCACAGTCATCTGAAGAAAATTCTGATGGAGGGTTCAATCAAGGATAGTGAGTGAGTTTTCAATTACTTCAGTAGCTTTACAGAATTAGCTTATGGTTATAAATTGACATCAGAACCATTGCGTCCGCCGCATTTTGATGCCGTGGGCATTCTAAACTCTCATGATTATATCTTGTGCATACATTCTGAATTCTCAAACCTGATTTTACTCTTGGGTTTCAACGTCTCTTATGTGTTCTGACAATGCATGTTTTATGTCAAATTTATGCAGGAGCCGCTGGATGATAATGGTTTCAAATCTCTACTAAACGACGCTAGTTCTACCACAACTAGACACCGATTGTTGGCATGTTCGCACCTGACATTTGGTACACTTTTCCATCTCCAAGTTACCTAGTTTAGATGCCTTCTCCCATCTATCTGTACATATAAACAAATACACTCGTAATGCATAAAAGTGTATACAACTCTTTTTGCAATTTGTGTCCAAATCTCTGCAGTCAGCCTCTCGAGTTTCTCGACTGTATCGCTATTGAAGCATATATCATTCAAATTTGTCTGTGTTACTTTTAGGAGCTGAGTTTAGTCACCGTAACTGAGAATTAGTGACCCATGTAGATGAATCTCATCCCATGTATCGTAGAAGCTCCAGAATGAAATTTGTAAAATTCGTAGATTCAAATATCTAAGTCTTGATTCTTGAAATATTATATTACTAGGTGATTGTTGCATGTAAGTTGGTACTGTATGTACGTACAGATTTAGAGTCCCCAGATTCAGACAGAGACAGGCATCGTCCTGTTGACCTGCAGCCCTCCGGCATTGTCGTCACCTTCATTCTCCCCACTGAGCTCCTCCAGCGACTTCCCTTTCGGCTCCGGCACCAGCAGAGTGAACAGCGCCCCCAAGAAATTCACACACCCGAGAACAATCAACGAATTCTTCACCCCAATCCCCGTCGGGTAACCCGGATCCGTCAAGTTCGGATCCTTGCTCTGCGCCGCGTACAAGAACCCGAACGCCCCCACTATCGCCCCCGCCTTGCCGGACGCCGCCGATATTCCATGGCAGGTGGACCTGAGCCTGGCCGGGAAAATCTCCGCCGGCACGATGAAGGTGGTGGAGTTGGGGCCGAAGTTGGCGAAGAAGAAGGTGAGGGAGTACATGACGACGAAGCCGATCCGGTGGGGCTTCTCCTTCCAGTGATAGTAGGGGAAAGCGAGGGCGAACATGAAGACGGTCATCATGAGGAATCCCATCAGCTGGATGAGGAATCTGCCGATGTAGTCGATGAAGGCGACGGTGAACCAGTAGCCGGGGACGGTGCCGCAGAGGGCGATCAGAGTCTGGGCGCGGGCGATCTTGAAGCATTCCTCGAGGGCGCTCATGGTGGGCGGCGGCGGCAGCCACTCGATCGCCGTGAAAATGTCCTTCTGGAACAGGTTCTGGCTGTAGAAGGCGATGTCCAGGAGAAACCACGTGGTCGTGGTCCCCACTAGGTGGGCCCCATGGCGTCGGGCGAACTCCGTTGAGAATAAACCGAATCCATGGCTTGATTGGGTCGCGATTTTCTCCACTTTCTCTTCTTCTGCCTCGAGCTGGACCTGTTAAAAATTAAAATTAAGAGAAATTAAGGAAACATCAACTCACTAATTTAAGATTAAAAATCTTTGGATAAAATTTTCATTTTTTATAGTTTGAACTTTGCGTCTCTAAATTTAAAAAACTATCCTATAATTTGAGTACCTGTAACTTCCATGCTAGTTAAGTTTGAGTTTCATTTTTAATTGGTTCTTAAAGTTAAATTTTCTAGCTAAATGATAATGTAACCGTCGATATAGGTTAACTAGACTTGTCAACTGATTTAAAAAATATGCATTCGCAAAATTTTTACTACCCTTCATTATTCTCATTTTGTTAAGTCAATTACTCGTTAACTCTATTTCAAAAAAAAAAAAAATTACTCTTCAACTCGAATGAGAGGTTAATTAAAACCAATTAAAAATTAAATTCAAATTTCGTATATCAAACATATCATTTTTTTTTAATTTTTAATCTTAAGAATTAAAAATTAAGATTTTTTTAATCTTAAGAACAAATTTGAAACTAAATTAAATTTGTAAGGACAAAAGATATGATAATTTTTAAACTCAGACCAAATAAAAACAAAAATGGATTTTATCCAAAAATTAATAAATTAATTAAAATGGGTATAGAACAGTACCTGGAGGACTTTCGACATGTCGGCCGCAGCTTGCTTTGCGTTCCTCGCGACGAGCGCTGTGTACCTGGCCGTCTCCGGCATTTTCATCCGCCAGTAATACGTCATCGCGGCCGGGATTGCGCCGAACATCAAAACGATTCGCCAGACGTAGTCAGCCTCCGGCACGGTGGAACCGGAGCGACTTTCGGAATACGGCGGAGCCGGGAATCTGTTGTTGAACGCGGCGGAGACGATCAGCGAAACAATCCCTCCGGCGAGGATTCCGAAGCCCTGCATCGCGAAGACGGCGGCGATGAAGGCCCCGCGGGTCTTCTTATTGGCGTACTCCGACATGATGGTGGCGGAGAGAGGGTAGTCGCCGCCGATGCCGAAGCCAAGCCAGAAGCGGAAGAAGCAGAGAGTGGCGATGACGCCTTTTGGGGAGTCGCCGAAGGAGAGGCCGGAGGCGAGGGAGCAGATGACCATGAGAATGAGGGTGATGCCGTACACCTTTTTCCGGCCGAGCTTGTCGCCGAGCCAGCCGAAGAAGAGCTGGCCGGCGAGGGTGCCGCAGAGGGCGACGCCGTTGACGGCGGCGGCGATGTTGGGAGGGAGGGAGCCGGGCCTGGGGGAATCCTCGACGTGGTAATAGATACGGCCGAGGAGTTTGGTGACGATGGAGATGCAGAAGAGATCGTAGGCGTCGGTGAAGAACCCCATTCCGGCGATGATGATCGCCGTGAAATGGTACCATTGGGTTTTCGCGATGTCGAGTGCACTCAGTACTCCGAGTTGACTCATTTTCTTTTCTTCTCCGATATATTTGGAAATCCCCCTTTTTTTTCTGCTCATTTTACCAGAAGGAAAAAGGTTAAAACTTTATTTATTTATTTTTATATCTAAAAAAGAATCAAATCTTGTTGACTAACTTTTTTTTTTGTCACTTAAAAAATCTACTTGAAATGAAGTTTATTTCATCTGTTATGGGTAGAACATGAGTTGGGGATTAAACTCATAAATCGGAATATATGTCAATTACCATTTAACCATCTTCGTTTTGATTTATTTTATCTGTCTTGTTGTCTAATTATGGTTAAAACACTATTTTGATGGATGTGACAGCTTTGATTCATTTTTTATCTCTCACCAAAATGTAACATTTTAAAAGTAGAACTAAAACCAAAATATTAAAAGTCGTTAAGATATCAATATTTGAATTAAATTTATTCAACCCATTAATTTAAGCTTTTTGGTTCATTGGTAGCTTAAATTTGTCCAACGATGCAAGTGTTCGAACACAAGACTAAGTACATGTTAACACTAATGAACCAAAAAGCTTAAGTTTATTGGATATCTAACGCTTCCCCTCACTTGTTGGCGTTAGAGTAAATCTAATCATTTGTATGATATCTAACCAAATTATAAATAGGGAAGAAATGACTATACAGAGCTTGAACACAAGACTCCCTATTTTGATACTATTTTAAACATGATTAATTAAACCACTAATAAATACAAAAACTCAAGATAAGATAAATATAATCATTTATAAGATATCTAACAAAAGCACGTGAGTTAAAATGAACTAAACTTGAAAGTACRTTGATCGAAATTAAGAAAATCTATGTTAATCTTAAAAAGTTGTCATTTTTAGTACTTATTATCATTAAACTACTTGGTATTGATTCATTCCGCCGACTTCAACCGGTTACCCCTCTAGATTTTTTTAATACAATATGTTGAAGGCGGAAATTCAAACTCACGACTTTTGGTTGGACATATATACTTTAATTCGTTGAAGTAAAGTCAAGAAATTTGAATTGATTGTCAACTTCTTAAATTTCTAGGGGATCCACCTATCTAATACCTCCATCAACCCATAGGAAGAGGGTGTAATTTTATATATATATTTCAATTACGACAAAAGGGATATTCTTTCTTTCACTTTGTGTCTCCCTCGATGAAATCTATTATCTTTTTAATAAACATGTTTGAAAACTTGATAATAGCGTTTTATTATTATTATTATTATTATTATTATTATTATTATTAGTTTAAATCTGTTAAAATCACTTAAGCATATTTTTTAGTTAGATTATTTATTTAATTTTATTAAAAAAAACATATTTTAAACACATATATTTTTTAGTTTTTAAAATTTTGCATGAATTTTAAATAATTTTTTAAATCACAATATAACAAAATTTGTTACTAAAATAGGTATAATTTCGAAAATAAAAATAAAAATATTATAAAACATGCTTTTGAGGAAGAGAGTAATTTTCAAAACCAAGAAAACTAACCTCTAATTTCTTTTTCGAGTTCTAGGAGTAGGAGATTAAACTTTCGAATTTTTGTTTACATTATTTTTTATGAATGACTCAATAATAATTCTGACAAATAAATTTGATAAGAAAATCAAGAAATAAAAATAAAATTCTAATTTCAATTTCAATTTTTTAAAAAACATAATAAACTCATTTGACTTTTCTTAAGGTTGCTGTTTAAAGAAAAAGCTGTCAATCATGAAACCTATGGATGAAGTGATGGACCACCGAACAATTTTTTTTTTTTTTTCATCAGGGTTTCTATTATTTACTTTATAAAAATAATATTTAAATTATATTTTAAAATAGGATATTTTCCTCAATTTTTTTTAGTGCAAAATATGTAATTTGCCGTGGGGATATCCATTTTTTCCCAGGGAACGAAGCCTGTGGGGAACAAATCCTCGTTTAGATTTCCGTACGATGCGGATATTTTTCTCATCACCTAAATGGAGACGGAGATGGAGAATACGTTCTTCGTCTCCATTCTCTGTTCCACATCTCGCTTCATTTTTTTTAAAAGAAGATATACTAAAAGAATACAATTATTATAGAGATTAAGTAATTAATTATATATTTTAAATTAATATTTAATTGATAAATAAATTTAAAATGACAAAATAAACGAGACAAAAGGAACTTAATCCTCACAAAATTTTGTGAAGAATTTCTCGAGTATAAAAACTTAATTTGTCCTGAGAGTCTAACAACTGCACTATTTATGACAAGTCCCAAAAGCTTTAAAAGTGCATGAAAGTTGTTAAAATTTTAAATTTTAATATAAAATAAAAGATGTATTAAAAAAAATTAAAGTCAAAATTCTATTTTAGTCAATCTATTTGGACAATATTTTTGAACTTTCAGAGAATAGCAGATTTCTGAGTTCTAAACTTGCTATTTTGGAGTTAGAATTTTAAACTTTCAAAGTCTGAATTTTTTAGTATAAATTGTTTTCAGTTCTGAATTTTTTGAAACTATTTTATTAGTGATTATCAGTTTTTTTTTTTAATTTATTTTTTAAGTTCGCTTCATGCAGCTTCTTAACACATACTAGTAACAATAATATTTATTCAAACCCATTTTCTTTTAAAAAAATATGATTGAGAGAGAAATTTAGTGTATTTTAAATATTTTGAATGGACGCAAAGATAGTGATATTTTTGTCAAGTTTGAATGATGGATTGGACATGAACATTAATTAGAATTTTTAATTTATTTTATGAGGTAAACATCTTGAACCAATTTCATATTTAAAAAAAAGTATTCAAATGCTATATATACAATAAAACAAACACATCAAAATAACTTCAACAAGTTGTTGAAAAAAAAGAAAACTAGAAAAATTAGTTTCCATAAACATTTTGAATTTTAAAATTTATGTAGAATAATAAAATTTGATTAATGGCCTAATTATAATGAAGATAAATGAAAAATAGACCAAAATCTTCCATAATAACGGTTTCCAACATGAAAGAAAGAAACTAATTACTTGATCATGATGAACTGATCAGTTTATCATCATGTTAAGCTTATTTTTTAGTCTAAAAATAGTTTTGTATTATGTAACTTTGCCTAAAAATTTAAAACTGGTTTTTAAAAGTTAGAAAATGGTTTCTTTTTCATGAAAAAAAACTAAAAAATAAAATTATTATGATTAATGAGTAATGATAGAGCTACCGAGGAATAGAAATAGAGTTAAAAAATTCTATAAATAGGCAAATAACACTATATATGCTCACCGGAACATAGTTTAACTGGTTTAAGTATTTATTTTGGATTAAAAGATTGTAAGTTCGTATTCTCATATTGTACGACAGAAAACATAGTAATATAGTTATAAATTTTATTAACTCTTAAAAGATTGGAGAGATTCTAAAAGTTAAAAAGTTTAGAGAGAACCTGATTTTCCTGGGAAAATGATAGACACTGGTGGAGAAGAGAAGCCTGCTTTAATGGTGGGATGAAAATAAAGGGGCTGTTTTTATAAGTGAAACAGCCAAAATACCAGAATTGCCCCTGGGGGCATCTTTTGGTATATACCAAATTTCAAATTTACAACCAATGATTCATCAAGTCAATGGCTTCCACACAATTTTTTTAATGTCCCAATTGATCTAAACCATTGAGTACGTGGCTCTTTCTATATTATTAATAATATGATTACATTTATACATGTAGATTTTTTTTTGTATGCTTTGTTTTTTAGCGTAACATGTGAGGTGGGATTCGAAATCACAATTTCTACATGAAGATATTAGAGGTGTTCAAAAAACCCGATCATCCGAAGAACCCGAGTAACCCAGCCCGAACCGTAAGGGTTGGGTTGGGTTAGATAAATTTTCGATTTGGACTGGGTTAAAAATTTTAAGAACCGACCAATTCGGTTCGGTTCTCGATTTTAATAACAAAATAGTCGGTTCAACCCGAACCGAACCGGGTGTGGGTGCGCCACCTCTTAAGCTCTACCTCTCAATCTCGATCTCACGACCTCCATCTCCAGGTTCTCAATCACTCTCTAGTCTCTTTTTCTCTTCTCAAATCTCGATCTCATTCTCACCCCTCTCAGCCTCTCCCAATCTTGTCTCTCAATCTCGATCTCACCATCTCTCACACTTATGATTTATTTCCGCCGTTTGCTGTTCCCGTTCGTTTCCCATTGCTGCTGTCCGTCTCCCATCGCGGTTGTCCGATCTACCATCGTCGTCGCATGCTGTCCACCACCGTCCCTCCCATTCTTGTCCAACACCTCCCATTCTTGAGTGATTTTTTTCTTTTGCAATATAGTTAAAAAAAAGAAGCAATCGAACCAAAACTCACATTTTTTTTGTTTCACATCTTGCCCAACACCTCTCATTCTTGGATCATTTTCGTATTTCTCTTTCATTAGAATTTTATCGGGTCACTAAACCAAACAACCTGAAAATTCGGGTTGGTTCAAAAAACCCCTTCAACCCAACCCAATCCGTGTACACCCTAAAAAATATCTATTAATTACCGTTGAACTATGCTTGCTTTGATATTTTTCTTTTTTTATGTTTTTAGTGGTATGAAAAAGACATATTTTCTTTTTTAGAAAGTTATGTTCATACTTAGAGAGGTTACTATACATAGGTAATACTAGAGTCCTTAATAGATGTAACCTTAACAGGGAAAGAAAAAAGAATTATTATTTTCGAGAGGTACCTTTTAATTCTTGTTTAAATATATACTATAATGTTATTTTGTTAGGATAATGAAACTTTTATCACCGAAATTAGACGATTTAAAGCTAAATTGAATTGCATTTTGAAGATTAAGAAAAGTCCAACAAGTCCAAAGTAAGAATATTTTTTTAGCTAATTAAAGTTGACACGTTAACATTTCTATCGACGTGTATATGTATCTATAAGTTCAAATCGATGTGAATTGACATTTCTACGACATCTAAAAAATTTATCATTATAAAAAAAATCAACAAAAAAACTATAGATATAATATTAATAATAATAATTTCACTCATTTAAAAAGATGAAAACTTATTTGTTAGTTTAAATATTTTTATGATTTTTTAAATATAAATTTTCTATTTTCATTGACATTTCTATATAAAATTGAGATTTTGATCTTAATCTTAGGTTGAGGCTTTTTAGGAGAACATATAATGGAAATTCAAATTCACGATGATGTGGTAGCATAATTAGTTTCTTCTTTAGCCAAAAAAAAATAATGATAAAATAATTAGATGCAATTTTGATGTGACTTGTTTTAGCATTGAGTCATTTGTGTCTCTCGAACTTGTATCTTGAATAGACGAGTAGGGTTCAGGTTGACTAGACTAACTTGACTCAACCCACACCACATAAGTTAATGGTCTTCAATCTCACATTTGGATCCACTACGACTCACTTAAATGACATTCATGTTCTGATCTATTGAATTATGTTTATAATTGACGAAAAAAATATCTTTCTTATAACACATAAATACAATATTTTGTGGTTTTAAATTTTATATAGAATAATGCAACCGTTACATTTTTTTATAATACAACAAATGTAGGAATGAGGACTTAAATTTTCAGATTAAAAAATGGATAGATTTTAACCGTTGAAGTATGTTCAGATTCCATCATCACGGGTAATGTTAATATTGTGGGAACATTTTATGAGGTATATCAAAGAAAATCCGGGAGAGATCAAAGAAAATTCTACCAACTTATTTTTGTCCTTAGCTCACAAGAATTATTAAAAAAAAAAAAAAAGAAAGACAGTTTTTTCAACGGTTTTTGCTACAAGTTTGAGCAATAAAAAAATATTTTGACATTTTTAATCTTTGTTTTCAAATGTATCTTATCTAGTTCTGAGTAATATCAAAATAATTACTTAGATATTTATGGTTTCCAATGTGAAAAGTGTATAGTATAACATAATTTTGTTTTATAATTACATTTAGAAATGACGGATAATCTTTGATTTTGTTGATCCAGAAATTTGGTTTTCTTGGATTCGCCAAATTCGCTGTAGAATAAAAAAAATCGACACACCTGCAAAACATAATATAGAATCTTCTCCTTTTGAATATAGTCTCTTGAATGATAAAGCAGATATATCTTCCATTTTGAATTCCGTTCAAATGGTAGAAAATAGAGATTTTCTCATTCGTACAGATTTGATTATCTTTTTTTTTCATTCTTTTAAAAAAATTCTTGTTTATTTGTCACATCAAAGTATTTAAATTTTAATGACGAAATTTTTTCCCAATTAAGTAAATCATAATATAAACATGGCAATATTGATTTCAATTACATCTAATTTATTAACAAAAGTGCCCTTTGTTTGAAATCTAATCTAATTTGGTTTTATTTTAAAATTTTTATAAAGTAGGATTTGACATAACCGATTATGATTTAACAATATATTATAGGCCCGACTTGATCTATTTCATTGCAATTTGAGTAAATTATTATTTATTTGTTCTTTAAAATAATTGTGAATATAACAATATAAGAATATGAACCTAAATAAACCATCACCTCGAGAAAAACAACCATATATTGTACTACAATAATAAAAATAATATCAAACAATATTTAAAAATAATAAAATTATGAAATATACATCTCTTTCCCGGATTAAAATATAGGAACACAAGTCAACTAGTTAAGATATATATATATCTTTAACTAAAAAGGGTTGGACGTTCGAATTCTTACCCCGACGTATTATTGAACTAATAAAAGAAATAAACAAACACGAAAGTATAAACGTCATCAAAAGGATTATAAATTTATTAAATTAACATCCCGAAATTTCTAAAACATTAATTATATAGAAACTTGGACGTTTGAATTTGTGCAGCATATTCATAGAATAATTTGATGTAATACTTTGTTTATTGTCTTGTTTCGTTGTCATTTACGTTCTTCCGTCTAACTTGCGGACAGAAAAATAAAAGTAAATAGGTATGGCCAAGGGATTTTTCAACCAAAAATTGTTTTTTTTTTAACAACAACAAAAAAAAATAGTTAAATATATATTTTTTAGTTTTTATAATTCGACTCTGATAGGATTTTGGTCTTTTTATATTTATGTAATACTGAATCACGAGCATTGAATAAAAATTGATTATTGAGAAGGTTAATTAATTTCATTTATTTGCTCATATTTTATATGTAAATTTGTTTTTCAACCAAATCAAAAAACAAAAAACAAAATCATAAATTGTAAAGATTTATTTATTTTTAATACAACATAAAGGGTAAGGGATTCGAACTCACGTTGAGATATGTTCAAGTTGATCATACATGATAAGAATTAAATGATACAGATAAAAATATTTGAATATTTTATGGCATTGGCTAGGAGTGATGATATCATGTGCTATTTTGTAACAAAAATGAGATTAGTGAGATATTTTCCTCTAATCTCATTCACTTAAAATTGATATTTGTTTAAAGGAAAACGAGAGAGAGAGAGAAAAAAGAGAGTTAGAAGTATATACAAGTCTTCTCATCCATGGGCTGTGCAAAATTTGGGCCGGCGAGGCTATGGTGTGATTGGCCCAATTCATTCAACTGGGCTGTCAGGGTTGTGACCCATCAAGACTGATAAGCCCACGGCTCACAATAGTCAATGTGCCAATAGAAGACACGTCGATATTTTCAATCCATTGACATTTCTATATATCTATAGTTCAACATCGACATGAGGAGTGAATTAAAAGATAAGTAAAAGTTATAATAAAAAAAATTAAACGAGAAAAGAAGATATAATTTTCAGAGGAAAAATTAGATTATGATGAAAAAGAAAAAAAAAATTTAGGGAGAGAAAATTCAGGAAAATATTAAAGTTTTAGAGAGAAAAATGAGAATAATATATTAGAACACAACGAACAAAATATTTAAAATAATTGAAAATTTTAGAGAGAGAAAAAAATAAATTTTTTAGAGAGAAATTTAATAAGAAAAAATTTTAGAATGAGAAAGAAATTTATTAGAGATACATATGTCGAAGGAAAAAAATTGATTATTAGAAAAAAATGAAATTTTGAAAAATAGAAGTTGTTTTTAAAAACTAATCTCTTTGTTTTTTAAATTTACACAGAATTTAAAAAAAAAACAACCGCTTTAAAAAGAAACTAAAATGAAAAAACAAAAAATAATAGACAAAATAATTATCAAACGGGCCTAAATCTTTTAAGTACTAACCTTTTCTTAATTTAACTATATGAAAATTGCTCAATTAAATTAAGAACACTGTTATAACAACTTGTTGGGGACCCAATAAACTATATATATATAGATATAGATATATATAGATATTATTACTTTAAATTACACCAAAAAAGACTTTATGTATTGGGATAATCTCAAGAGATATGAACAAGAAAAAAAAAAATCATATATTTATCCGCAAGTTATATAATTGTATTACATTCATAGTCGTTATGGATTTTAGTTGCTGTAGACCACCCCACCACA